GTCGTGACGTGGCACCTCGGGTGAGATGGGGACACCATGGGGACACCCAGGGATGGGCCACCTTGGTGAGGTGGCACCTTGGTGACGGCCACTCTGGCGACGGGGTCACCTCGATGATGGGGCCACCGTGAAGATGGGACACGCTGGTGACAGGGCCACCGTGGGGAAGGGACAGGATGGGGATGGGGCCACCTGGTGACATCGCATCTTGGTGACGTGGCCACCGAGGGGATGGGACACCCCGGTGACACGGCCACCTGGGTGACATGGCCATCGTTGATGATGGGGCCACCAAGGGGAGGGGACTCCCTGGTGCTGGGTCACCCTGGGGACATGGCCACCATGGGGACATGGCACACTGGTGACATGGCCACGTTGGTGATGGGGCCACCAAGGAGATGGGACGCCCTGGTGACACAGCCACCTAGGTGACCTGGTCATCCTGATGATGGGGCCACCGAGGGGATGGGACTCCCTGGTGACACGGCCACCTCAGTGCCATGGCCATCATGATGACAGGGCCACCAAGGGGATGGACGTCCTGGTGCTGGGTCACCCTGGGGACATGGCCACCATGGGGACGTGGCACCCTGGGGACATGGCCACTTTGGCGATGGGGCCACCAAGGAGATGGGACGCCCTGGTGACACAGCCACCTAGGTGACCTGGTCATCCTGATGATGGGGCCACCGAGGGGATGGGACACCCTGGTGACATGGCCACCTGGGTGCCATGGCCATTGTCATGATGGGGCCACCAAGGGGGTGGGACAGCCTGGTGACATGGCCACCTTGGTGACGTGGCCATTGTCATGATGGGGCCACCAAGGGGATGGGACACCCTGGTGACACGGCCACCTCGGTGCCATGGCCATCGTGATGATGGGGCCACCAAGGGGACGGACGCCCTGGTGCTGGGTCACCCTGGGGACATGGCCACCATGGGGAAGGGACACCATGGTGATGGGGTCACCTGGTGACATCGCATCTTGGTGACATCGCCACCAAGGAGATGACACACCCTGGCGCTGGGTCACCCTGGGGACGTGGCCACTTTGGTGATGGGGCCACCAAGGAGATGGGACGCCCTGGTGACACGGCCACCTCCGTGCCATGGCCATCGTGATGATGGGGCCACCGAGGGGATGGGACACCCTGGTGACAAGGCCACCTCGGTGCCATGGCCATTGTCATGATGGGGCCACCAAGGGGATGGGACACTTGTCACAGGGCCACCTCGGTGCCATGGCCATCATGATGATGGGGCCACCATGAAGATGGAACACCCTGGTGACACGGCCACCTCGGTGCCATGGCACCTCAGTGACATGGTCATCCTGATGATGGGGCCACCAAGGGGATGGGACTCCCTGGTGCCATGGCCATCATGATGATGGGGCCACCATGAAGATGGAACACCCTGGTGACACGGCCACCTCGGTGCCATGGCACCTCAGTGACATGGTCATCCTGATGATGGGGCCACCAAGGGGATGGGACTCCCTGGTGCCATGGCCATCATGATGATGGGGCCACCATGAAGATGGAACACCCTGGTGACACGGCCACCTCGGTGCCATGGCACCTCAGTGACATGGTCATCCTGATGATGGGGCCACCAAGGGGATGGGACTCCCTGGTGCCATGGCCATCATGATGATGGGGCCACCATGAAGATGGAACACCCTGGTGACACGGCCACCTCGGTGCCATGGCACCTCAGTGACATGGTCATCCTGATGATGGGGCCACCAAGGGGATGGGACTCCCTGGTGCCATGGCCATCATGATGATGGGGCCACCATGAAGATGGAACACCCTGGTGACACGGCCACCTCGGTGCCATGGCACCTCAGTGACATGGTCATCCTGATGATGGGGCCACCAAGGGGATGGGACTCCCTGGTGCCATGGCCATCATGATGATGGGGCCACCATGAAGATGGAACACCCTGGTGACACGGCCACCTCGGTGCCATGGCACCTCAGTGACATGGTCATCCTGATGATGGGGCCACCAAGGGGATGGGACTCCCTGGTGCCATGGCCATCATGATGATGGGGCCACCATGAAGATGGAACACCCTGGTGACACGGCCACCTCGGTGCCATGGCACCTCAGTGACATGGTCATCCTGATGATGGGGCCACCAAGGGGATGGGACTCCCTGGTGCCATGGCCATCATGATGATGGGGCCACCATGAAGATGGAACACCCTGGTGACACGGCCACCTCGGTGCCATGGCACCTCAGTGACATGGTCATCCTGATGATGGGGCCACCAAGGGGATGGGACTCCCTGGTGCCATGGCCATCATGATGATGGGGCCACCATGAAGATGGAACACCCTGGTGACACGGCCACCTCGGTGCCATGGCACCTCAGTGACATGGTCATCCTGATGATGGGGCCACCAAGGGGATGGGACTCCCTGGTGCCATGGCCATCATGATGATGGGGCCACCATGAAGATGGAACACCCTGGTGACACGGCCACCTCGGTGCCATGGCACCTCAGTGACATGGTCATCCTGATGATGGGGCCACCAAGGGGATGGGACTCCCTGGTGCCATGGCCATCATGATGATGGGGCCACCATGAAGATGGAACACCCTGGTGACACGGCCACCTCGGTGCCATGGCACCTCAGTGACATGGTCATCCTGATGATGGGGCCACCAAGGGGATGGGACTCCCTGGTGCCATGGCCATCATGATGATGGGGCCACCATGAAGATGGAACACCCTGGTGACACGGCCACCTCGGTGCCATGGCACCTCAGTGACATGGTCATCCTGATGATGGGGCCACCAAGGGGATGGGACTCCCTGGTGCCATGGCCATCATGATGATGGGGCCACCATGAAGATGGAACACCCTGGTGACACGGCCACCTCGGTGCCATGGCACCTCAGTGACATGGTCATCCTGATGATGGGGCCACCAAGGGGATGGGACTCCCTGGTGCCATGGCCATCATGATGATGGGGCCACCATGAAGATGGAACACCCTGGTGACACGGCCACCTCGGTGCCATGGCACCTCAGTGACATGGTCATCCTGATGATGGGGCCACCAAGGGGATGGGACTCCCTGGTGCCATGGCCATCATGATGATGGGGCCACCATGAAGATGGAACACCCTGGTGACACGGCCACCTCGGTGCCATGGCACCTCAGTGACATGGTCATCCTGATGATGGGGCCACCAAGGGGATGGGACTCCCTGGTGCCATGGCCATCATGATGATGGGGCCACCATGAAGATGGAACACCCTGGTGACACGGCCACCTCGGTGCCATGGCACCTCAGTGACATGGTCATCCTGATGATGGGGCCACCAAGGGGATGGGACTCCCTGGTGCCATGGCCATCATGATGATGGGGCCACCATGAAGATGGAACACCCTGGTGACACGGCCACCTCGGTGCCATGGCACCTCAGTGACATGGTCATCCTGATGATGGGGCCACCAAGGGGATGGGACTCCCTGGTGCCATGGCCATCATGATGATGGGGCCACCATGAAGATGGAACACCCTGGTGACACGGCCACCTCGGTGCCATGGCACCTCAGTGACATGGTCATCCTGATGATGGGGCCACCAAGGGGATGGGACTCCCTGGTGCCATGGCCATCATGATGATGGGGCCACCATGAAGATGGAACACCCTGGTGACACGGCCACCTCGGTGCCATGGCACCTCAGTGACATGGTCATCCTGATGATGGGGCCACCAAGGGGATGGGACTCCCTGGTGCCATGGCCATCATGATGATGGGGCCACCATGAAGATGGAACACCCTGGTGACACGGCCACCTCGGTGCCATGGCACCTCAGTGACATGGTCATCCTGATGATGGGGCCACCAAGGGGATGGGACTCCCTGGTGCCATGGCCATCATGATGATGGGGCCACCATGAAGATGGAACACCCTGGTGACACGGCCACCTCGGTGCCATGGCACCTCAGTGACATGGTCATCCTGATGATGGGGCCACCAAGGGGATGGGACTCCCTGGTGCCATGGCCATCATGATGATGGGGCCACCATGAAGATGGAACACCCTGGTGACACGGCCACCTCGGTGCCATGGCACCTCAGTGACATGGTCATCCTGATGATGGGGCCACCAAGGGGATGGGACTCCCTGGTGCCATGGCCATCATGATGATGGGGCCACCATGAAGATGGAACACCCTGGTGACACGGCCACCTCGGTGCCATGGCACCTCAGTGACATGGTCATCCTGATGATGGGGCCACCAAGGGGATGGGACTCCCTGGTGCCATGGCCATCATGATGATGGGGCCACCATGAAGATGGAACACCCTGGTGACACGGCCACCTCGGTGCCATGGCACCTCAGTGACATGGTCATCCTGATGATGGGGCCACCAAGGGGATGGGACTCCCTGGTGCCATGGCCATCATGATGATGGGGCCACCATGAAGATGGAACACCCTGGTGACACGGCCACCTCGGTGCCATGGCACCTCAGTGACATGGTCATCCTGATGATGGGGCCACCAAGGGGATGGGACTCCCTGGTGCCATGGCCATCATGATGATGGGGCCACCATGAAGATGGAACACCCTGGTGACACGGCCACCTCGGTGCCATGGCACCTCAGTGACATGGTCATCCTGATGATGGGGCCACCAAGGGGATGGGACTCCCTGGTGCCATGGCCATCATGATGATGGGGCCACCATGAAGATGGAACACCCTGGTGACACGGCCACCTCGGTGCCATGGCACCTCAGTGACATGGTCATCCTGATGATGGGGCCACCAAGGGGATGGGACTCCCTGGTGCCATGGCCATCATGATGATGGGGCCACCATGAAGATGGAACACCCTGGTGACACGGCCACCTCGGTGCCATGGCACCTCAGTGACATGGTCATCCTGATGATGGGGCCACCAAGGGGATGGGACTCCCTGGTGCCATGGCCATCATGATGATGGGGCCACCATGAAGATGGAACACCCTGGCCCCCCACGGCCCCTCTGCTGCTGCTCCTCCACGGCTTCCCCCAGAACTGGTGGGTGTCCCCAAAGTGCCACCAAGCGCCACCACCGCCACCAATGACGGTGTCACCACCATCGTCATCGTCATCGTCATCGTCATCGTCTTCCTCCTCCTCCTCCTCCTCCTCCTCCCAGGTTCTGCTGGAGACACCTCCTGCAGGAATTCGGCACCCGCTACCGCGTGGTGGCGTTGGACCTTCGGGGTTACGGAGCTTCTGAGAAGCCACCAGGAAAGGACAACTACCGCTTGGAGGTCCTCCTGGAGGACATCCGTCAGGTCATCGAGATCTTGGGGACATCCGAAGGGCAGGAGGTCACCGGCGACACAGCGGCGACCCCCAAGTGTATCTTGGTGGGTCACGATTGGGGCGGCGTTCTGGCCTGGGAGTTGGCCGCCGGTCATCCGGCCATGGTGGAGAAGTTGGTCATCATGGACGCTCCTCACCGCGCCGTCATGGCGGGTAACGGGTGGCTTTTCGGGGACAGGGTGGGACACTCGGGGCCGGGAGGGGGCCGCGGGGGTGACATCTGGAACGGTCGCGCCGGGTCTGACGGGGTTCCGCCTCCCGTGGTGGCACGGCACGGCTCG